AGTTACTTACGAAGCTTTTAGAACTTGCTCACGGCACCTTTACTTTTTGACTTCCGAACCCTTTTAGCGAAGATCGTGTTGCGATCTTAAATATTTCATACAAGTTGATCATATCTAGCAAAAAATAAACACTGTACGTGTTCATCATGGTGAAAATGTGTTTATGACAGAGGAGGACAGTCAAGCTTGTAGTTTCGAAATTTCTACCACCCATTTCCAGACGAAATCCAGCGCGTTTCAGAAAAATTACAATTTGATTAGAAACAAACGATCAATCGATCAACTGTTTGATTATTTAGTATTTAGCCATACATTGCTACCATTAGACAAACAAGCAAATTTTAATTATAAATTTAGATATAATCTTTACGAACATATAAAGCTGAGGAGTTTGTTGGTTTGTTTGAACGCGCTAATCTCAGGAACTACAGGTTCGATAAATTTCAATGATATTTAAAAAAAAGTACGCGACACTGTATGTCTATCTTTCAAGATTGACGTGCAAGAAACGGGACGCAACCGATGTCGTGGGCAGCTTAAATTTATAAAGATGTAGAGGTTAAATACTGTCTATAGTTTACGCGAGTAGTACACATTTAAATAAAACACTCTAACGTTTTAAAACGCGATATATTAGTTAAACTTATTTGGCCAGTCTCCCCGTGAACATGGCTGCTGCAAAGCATCCGAAACGTCGGGCCGAAGTTTAAAAATGTGTGTGTATAAAAGATCCTTATGAAAGAAATGTCAAACTGTATCGTTTGTGTTAGCTCGGCCTCCGAAGGGGCCACAGAATATCACTGTTGAGACATTAGTCCCAACGTACTAGCTGAGTGGACTCTCTTTTCAAAGGCAACTGTACTATTTAATTTTCACTTTATTTAGTCGTAAAACATTATATATATATATATATAAACATTATAATTCTATAGTATGTTTGTATTATTAGAATGTATATTATTATTTAAAAATCGAAAATAAATTGAAAAATTTTTCGACTCGGGCAGGACTTGAACCGGCATCGTCAGGGTTCCGTGCTGTTGCTCTCAAGTCTTGCCCGAGTCGAAAATTTTTTCAATTTATTTTCGACTAGTTGTGCCGGCGACTTCGTCCGCGTGGAATAGTGACTTATGGTAGAATTTTTAATTATTTAGGCTGTTTATTAATTTATGTAACGGCGCATTTAGGGCGGCCAATCTATGTTGTATGTGCTACTTTGCCGCAACACTCTCACCTCACATCACCCTTACTCTAACTCCCACTCTCATTCATACACTTACTCTCACTCCCACTCCTATTCCCAAAAAGGCAAAAAAGAAAGTTTTATTGTTTTAGTTCCAAAACCCACGAATTTCCATACAAACTTCCATCCCTTTTTTTCTTTTCTTTACCGTCGGAAAATGCCTCCCTGGGCACGGCTCTGTGTTAAGAAATAATAAAGTATGTATATGTAAAAAATAATAAAATTGTCAAATGTATATTATTGTGAATATATGTTGTTTTCTAAATAAACGTATTTCCATTCTATTCAAAATAATTCTACGCGGACGAAGATGATACAGCTAGTGTGTAATATAAAGAAAATAGCGTAAGTGTATTACATCGATCTTGTTGGCTTTAAACGAAACAGTTGGAACTCCGACCAGCATATTTAGCACTATTTAAATAAAGATAATCTCCAAGCTATTCCACATAATTAATTGACACTTTATCTCCAACAAAAATACAATTCCGCTGAAATTGAAACGTAATAAGACGTCCATCATTTTGGCAAAGTTCGCAAACACTCATTACACAGATGACAGGCCGCTGATTGATCGTTTCTGGGACTTCAGAAGTCAGAGCTTCCGAGAATTACAAATTATTTTTCGATGGACATGCACAATAGGTCACTTCCCGTATTCAATTAAATGATGATCGTGTTGCTGACAATCATTGCGTTATCAGACGACCGTTGTGTGTCACGCATATTAAGTAGATCTTAAATATCTCTATAAGACGTGACATTATTACATTACAAACTAGCTGGGTCAGCGACTTCGTCCGTGTAGAATAGTGATTTTGGACATCAAATTTTGTTTTTGCAAACCTCCTCTTCATCTCTAAACTTAAGCCACTTTTACCCACGTCGTCGTCCGCATCTCGTCGTTCTTGCAAGTTACACTTACAAAATAGACATATATTGTCGCGAACATTTTTTTATATTATTTGAAAGAGGAATCATTCATTTCTACATATTTCTTGGGTATCTTAAATTGTTTACGAAGCGTAGCTACGCAACGGAGGAGGACGACGAACAAACTTAACAACAAGCTTTATTTATATAGATAGATAGTATAGATGAAACTATTCGTTGAAATTTCATCTTTTAGCATATTACATGCTTTTCTTATACATACAGCAATTACTAATATAGCCAGTTTCTCCAAATACTAACTACAACAGAACAGATGACGTAGCAGTTTTGTCTTTGATATTAGAGACACCCATCATCATCAGTCCCCCTGTGACCACGGCTGCTGCAAATCATCCGAAACATGGGGCCGAAGTTAAAGTATATTAAAAATGAGTTAACTATTATTTATTATATTTCGTGTTTTACCGTTAAAAGTGTTTTATTTAAATTTGATGATTTTTTTTTATAGTAAGACGAAAATTACCTAAGGATCGTCGTATAATGAAGTGAAATAGGTAAATCGTTTAAAACCGTTAAAAGTGTGTTTTTAATGTGTAGCACTTGCTTAAACTACACACAATATATAAAACAGTAAATTATATAATTCATGACGGCTTGTTAATTAGTAATTAGTACTGGATATTTGAATTTCTATCAAAATAAAACATTACTACAAATCAATGTTTGAATGATATGCTTCTCAAATTCTAATGAAATCAAAGCTAACGCCCACTGCACTTAGCGTGTTTCTAAACACTAATCGCTGGTCCAAACTGTAAACTTCAATTTAAAAAGTGACATAACACATCAATACACATAAACAAATGATCTCGAATTGGGTGAATGTCGCTGCGTGGATAGAGTTACGTCGCGCTGTGACGTCAAAGGCGTGTGTCGAAACGGTTACAAATTATATGGAAATAGGTTGCACTGTCATTAAATTCATTTTATTGAGAATCAGATGTTCACGGTATTGTAAAGGGGGCAAAAGCGAAGAACACGCCAACCGGCTAGATTAATAGAATAGGGAAAGATTTTGATAAGTTAGTCCGATGAGACAGACAAAATTGACACCTATACATCCAAATACTGTCCGTAGATAGTTTACGCGAGTAGTACATATTTAAATAAAACACTTTGACGGTTTAAAGCGCGATTTAAACAGTTAAAGTGTTTTATTTAAAGCTATATATCTAAAAATATTTTTCACGTGTTATTTATAATACGTGATGGAATTAAAAATGTTGAAACGATTTGAAGACATGGGGGACCTTCAACGTGCATCCACCAGCGTTCCGAACCATTCAAGTACTATGTGTGTCCTCCACATCATCGTCGAATTTCAACCCATACATGCACCCCTCGCGCAATTTAATTTCAACCTTAACTTTTCGTTGAATCTATTTCATTATAACTAAAGATTTAAGTTATTATCATAAAATGTATACGTTAAGAAATGTGTAAAGAAATAATAAACCGATTTACCATCTGACATGTGTGTCATCTATGAACAAAATTTCCCCTTTGTTGCAAACTTAAAGAAATCTCAAAGTTCCATGGAAAATTATATTTCCCGCGTCGAACACGAAAGTGTAAAATCTTTAGAGCGTTCTACATAATTTTCACGTAATTTATGCTCACCTAAATTCCGGAAAATGTTTCTACGCTTACATGTCGGGAAAATACTGTTTTTGTTTTGAAGGTCTCTCAGTGCCTTGCTCATAACTAAAATAATCAATGATGTTGTAGATTTCCACAGCCAAATTAGGTTGACAACACATAGATGACATGTTAAATGGCCTTTGCATCTTTCATAAACTGTATGCTTGTATGTTTTGGTACAGCAATATAGTATTCTGTTGTGGCATAAATAAATAAAGGCTTGATGGTATAATTTCAAAATATGTTTTTTTTCACGCATGATAGAATATTAACGAATTAACGAATATTAACGAATGCTAGAAATGTTTATATCTAAAAACTTTAACATTTTTTTCATAATGGCCCTGTATAGATTAAAAATCGAAAATAAATTTTAAAAAATTTTCGACTCGGGCAGGACTTGAACCGGCTTCGTCAGCGTTCTGTGCCGTTGCTTTTTTTATTTTCTTTTTTCTCAAAATAATGATACATGCATCTCTCTCATAATGAATTACTTTTATATTAAAATTACATTGCGCGAGAGGCATAGAGTTTATCTTGTTTGTGTATAAATTATAAACCGTTAGCCAATGAGGGCGCTTATAGATTTTAAATTCTATTGAAATTCTGTCCGAGTTCCGTTACATAAAAATATTGAATACAATAGTCAATTGCCGTTTGGAAAATACGCTGAAATATTCAAAAAGGTTCGTCTGCATGTTTAATTTCACTTGTTGTATGTGAAATTGATCTATTTTCCATTGGTTTATGCAAATAGAGGTAAGTCTATTTATCATCTCGATTTATAAATCATATCATTTTTCTTTATATATCAAGTTTTCAACTGTAACTTTAAATGTTAGTTATAAAAATAATAAATATAACTGATTATGAAACTGAAATGAAACTGAATGAATATGTTCAGGTGGGGGGAGGGGGGGCGAGCAAAGCGGCATTGACACCGGTTTGAAAGGGACACAGTGAGAGTTCGATAACCCAATGTCAAAATGGGGAATGGGAAAAAGGGGGAAATAGGGACATAGTTATTTTTAGTTCGTCTATAATCTTTATACACCTATCTGGTTATACATAGATACCGGTTATATATAAACGAGTCTACACATAAACATACAGAAGATTCACAAACAGCTGATCAATCAATTGTTACCAACCAATGGCTCACCTTGAACACGCTATTCCGGTATCTTCCGACGCCTTGACTACTTCTTCCGACTTCAGATCGTAACCACATCTTATCCAAAAAAATCGTTTACCAAACATTACAAAGTTATATAAAAGTGATAGCATTATTAATTCATTTTATATCCTAGGTAGTGTTTTTTTTTATAAAACACTTTTAACGGTTTAAAACGCAAAATATATTAAAGTAAAATCTGCGACCTCAGCCCCGATGTTAGATAAGTTTTGATGCTGCATATTGGCTGCTGCAAAGCCAAAATAGGTCGATAGCGCATCGTAATTAAATCATATCTATACATCGAAATTAGGTTTAAATGTAACCGTTAGTATTTTATTTATATAACAGCTAATAACCATAATGACATTACTTACTAATTATTCGACATCTTCAAAGAGATCGTGATAAAGGCGAAACGTAAATGAAACAGAGCTTACACAATTGCCGTTACTTTCAGCTATTAAATGCAGAATTACGGGGAACACTGTAATTCATCCGTCGCACGGTTTACTTTGACGGTAAAAATGAGGTCAGGAAAATCAGTATCGCAGATAAAGGTGACCTTCGGTTGTTTCGCGAAAAACGTTACGGCTGAAGAGAATAGACAGCGTACATATGGAAACTATTATTTTAAATTTCAAACACTAGACAATGGTTGACGAGCTCGTTGGACAATGGTAGCAATATTTGGGTACCACCCCAATTGGGTCCAACATTTTCTATTAATTTATCATATTCTGATACATGTTAGACTCCGTCTGGAAATCTGAGTATTAAATGGCAAGAATATTTTAATTCCGTCCGGGTCACGAACCGTCACACGATATCCAAAACAAAATAGGTCGACAACATATTGTTTAGATGTTATACGACTGGCGTATTTCACCAACCGACTTCCTCTATCATAAAAAAAGTTTTTTACTGTATTACAACAACTAACACCCTAACCTGGGACACAGTTAATTGTTCGGTCGGGAATAGCACAGTCTGAGTTTGCCTCTTGAAAGAAACTAGCGGGTTCGTTACTTCATAATGAAAAAAAAGGTAGATTTGTTGTTGTTAAAAATGTTGCTCAATGCACAACCGCCCTTATATTTTAATTTTTCACCGAGTCTCAAACTGCGGGTGACCCCAATACCGGGGCATAAAGATACGGCTCTAATTAAAAAGACTGCGATACATCGGTGTCAACTAGACACATGAAAAATTGAGACATTTCGCGTGCGATAAAATTCGCGGTATTCCGTTGACACGAAATAATGTGAAATGGGCCGATACAAGATTTTTCTAACGCTGTCAGAGTGGCGTGCGCTGCTTTTATTTATTCCTCTGTTTTTAATGTAAATTGACGTTATAAAACATTTACAGGGCGATGATTATGAGAAACTATTGTAATTGTTATAAAAAAAACAATGTTAGTGATTAATTATGATTATTTATATCTTAGCTATAGATAAATATATAAATAATATTCTATGTGGTTATTAAACATTGACTCTGTAGCTATTGGTTTTGGGGTCGAATCCGGGGACAAAAATAAATTGTTACGCTTGGATAAGGGACAAAGGTCTGACCAAGGACTTACCTGTAAGTAAAACCGATAAGAGAAACGAAAATGTGTTCGTCCCATGCCCCACGGGGAAACGGGCTTACACTTTTATAGTCGTTCAATTCGTAGGTCGCAAGTTCGATTACCGATTATGCACTAAAAATCTCTTAACAAAGTTCTCTACAGTGCAGATTCTACACGTAATACACTTGTTATACAAGTGTCATGTAAAAATACGTATTATTTACACAGTGATAACGTGAACACGTGAATTACACGTGTTGCATTGCGCAAACGTCGCCCGTGAATCATTATATAGAGCGCGAATGTTATCAAACACCTGCTAAGTTCACATAATTTAAGACCATGTCTACATCGGTTAAATTAGAAGGAAACGCTTCAGGAAATGTCAAATAACTTTACATTAAACATTACTCTTAATTATACATTTAACGGTTTACAACGCGAAATATATTCGTGGACTTATTTTTAATTATATTTCTTCGTGACCACGGCTGCTGCAAAACATCCGAAACGTCGGACCATAGTTAAAATAAATTGTAAATAATTAATTTGAAAGTTAACTATAATATTTCGCGTTTTAAACCGTTAAAAGTGTTTTATTTAAATCTTGAAAACCTGTTAATACGAAATGCCATTACCGCAAACTTCAATGTTAAATAAGCCGTTAAACTCGGTCGAGTGTTTATCCAACCTTAATCTTAAATCTCGATTCGACACTGCGATTCCGGGAAGACCGCACATCCTCGCTAAAACGTAGAAAAAAATCGTTAAAACTCATTCGAATACCGCAGTCGAGGTTTATCGATTTTCCGGAAATTATCCGGTAACAATTTTTAATTGCTCCTTAAACGTGCCAGTTATCCAAAACCCGCTTTTGGGCCGAACGAGGTATGTAAATATGTCAATATTTAGGGTACCGTAATTGCACATAAAAATGTCAGGAAGTCGAGTTCCGTACGCTCCATAAATTACGTCTTTGACATTAATCACGCTCCCTTTACGGGGCTTTTAGGGAGCTTTTAGGACAAACAGCATGAGGCATAATTAGGAAAGAATACAAGGAACGGTGTCACATAAGTCATTTAGTTTGGAGCTGTTCGCTTGAAAACGAATTGGATTATGAAAACATAAGTAAGTGTGCTTTTGTTGACTTATCGGATCATTTTTGCATTTCCTCGTACATGCTAAAAGGTTGGTACATTTGAATAAAGGTTATTGATTTAACTTATTTCTTATTTACGAATTTGTTACTACAAATTAAAATCCTTTAAACTTAAAATTTCCCACAGCTGGGACAGCCTCTGCGAGCTTCTTAGAGGATTTATAGGTCATTACGAACGCTGCTCAAATGCGCGTTGTTAGACATATTTGGATAAAACACTTTTAACGGTATAAAACGCGAAATATTATAGTTAACTTTCAGTCACACAAAAAAAGAATTTCCATATTAAAACATTTCGCGTTTTAAACCGGTATGTGTGTTTTATTTGAATGCGTACTCGAATAAACAACAGACAATACTTAGATGACTTATTTAGTTGAATTTATATTACAGGACATTACAATGTTACGTGTAAGAGAAATAATGTAATTATATACTCAGCAAACATAAACAAATCAATGTATATAGGAATAAAAACGTCGTCAATTGCGTAACATATAGTATATGTATTACTTACTATATTACGCGTTTCTCCCAATTACATGACATACAAAACTTTTAATCGCCAGTTACTGAAACAGATGTGAAAGCTTCTAAAAGAAACGAAAAACTTCATTAATGTCTGCACTTAAAGACGATATTCTTTATGTGACTGAATTGGGTCGAAGGTAATAAGGTTTATTATAAGTTTGACGTCGGTCTAATGGCTTATAATTAACAGGTCGTGGATTCGATAACCAACGGGTCCAACATGATTCTATTTTTTTCTGAAACACGTTGGACATCGTCGGGAAATCTAGATATTAAATGGTGGTCAGGAATATAGAATTTTCGTCGAAAAAGCCGTTAAGCTTAAGCACCTTTCGGTTTCAGTCTGTGATTTTCCGAATATCCAAAGCTAAAATAAGTCAACAGCGCATATTGTTTAGATGTATACTGATAGGCTGGAGTATATCACCTATCATCATTGTCGACCTATTTTGGGTTTGGATAGAGAGTATTCGATTTAAGATGCGCGGGAGCAGAATCGGTGTTTATTTCGTATCGTATAAATGTTACGGCTTATGTAATAACATTTTTTAATAAAGACGGTTAACGATCTCCTCGAACGCTTATATGGGCCACCGGACAAGTAAGAAACCGCAAAATATATACAGCGGCCGTAAAAGCTTCGTCCGTCGCGCAAATTATACGACGAACCTCGTTACAACTTGACCAAGATTCGTGATGAAAAATGTCGCGAGTAATTTCAGGTCTTCAGGGCGCTAGGAACGCCTATCCATTTGCATCTTAATTTAGAAGATTTAACTCCTACAGACTCACTTGAACGTTTTGTAAATTCTTCAACACATCCGTAATTCGAGTAAGAAGGAAACCGAAAAAAATGTCGTGGAAAACTTTGTGTTGCTAATTTAACCAACTGTTCCACCGTGTCGTGTTGGTTAGAGCAGCAGCACGGAACGCTATGGATGCCATTTCAATTCCCGCTCGTGTCAATAAAGTGCCGCTCGTAAAAATCAGTCAATTACTATATTTCGCGCTTTAAAACCGTTTTTTTTATAATAGAGGAGGATAGACATAGCATGGGGTTCACATGATGGTAGGTGATATACCCGAGCCTATAGCATCTAAACAAATGCGCTGTTGGCCCATTTTGGCTTTGGATATTCGGAAATCCACAGACTGAAACCGAAACGCAATTGAGTTTTTCGGCTTTTTTATCTGTGGACGGTGGTTCGTAAACCGGACGGAACTTCAGAAACATTATAAATTGAACAATCAAAAACATATTGGCCCTGGTGGGGATTGAATCCACGGCCTATTGATTATTAGCCATGCATTGCTACTATTAGACCTACGAGCTCGTCAAAGTGTTTTATAAATCGTGTACTACTCGCGTAAGCTACAGACAGAAAATTGAGATTAAATAACCAACTTTAAATAATGTATGAACAAAACGAAACATGTCAGCTAGCATTTTCAATCGCTGGAAGCTATTTTCCTGTCCAATTCGTTGGAAACAGCGTCAGCAGAGGAATCTACATGCGGTGGGTAACAAGACAATCGCGAACATTTTCTTGGAATACCTTTTATCTTAATTTAAATATCTTTCTTTGTTTTTGTACAAAAATAGCATTTATTAAAAACACTTTTCAATTAATTATTCTTGTTTAAGGGCACCAAACTATTAAAACTAATACTATATTAGTACCTGTCTTTCACTATGCATCTATAATAACAAATATATACTTTTAATATTAAAGAAATCATTTAATCACTAAAGGGGCTTCTATACAATAAAATAAATTATCTTTGATT